CATTGCCAGCAGCAAACCGTATTATATCAGAACCCAAACAAATCATGTTGTTGGGAAAATAAAAACAATAAAATAAAAATCTGTGTAACAGACTGTATTCATTAGTGTTGTTTATTTATACGAGTTACAGAAAGAAAAGAAGAAGAAAAAATTAACGACGTTGAACATACTACCACCGCGGTTTGAACGGTTTCAGCGTTCATATCCCTGCTGGGCTAATTGTATGTTGTCACGTTATCTTTTCTCCACGTTTAACTTAATAAATCACACTTTTTTCTTTGTTTTTAATTTCAAAGTTCTTGCTCCGTGAAAATCTGCGACGCATGAGCCAGATACTCCTAAGGTTTAGGCCTAGCTATCCCTAATTTAGAACCGTAATCCAAAAAGAAGGCAACCAGTCAGCAGCACCAGCCACCTATCATGCATTTACTATTGATTTGACCGAACAGATGGATTGATTATCAAATTTATAACTCTCCCTACAATTCGTATTCAGCGACCTATCGCGTCTCCAACCTTTGTATCTGGAGCCCGACACGCTGAACATTAGGCCACGCCTGGCCTAGTGTATAGAAAGTAATCGAGTTCAGATAGGAACATGCGTTAGGTCCCATAATTTTGATAGCGTATATCGATTATTCAGAGTCGGATGGTGAATAATAAGTCATTCTTATCTGTCTTACAGCAGTCGACGGTCGTTGGACTTCGTGGTCATCCTGGTCAACCTGCGGTTTAGACTGCAGACATCATCGCCGTCGTACCTGCGCAAACCCTAAGCCTGCTCATGGTGGCCGATATTGTGAAGGCAAAGACTTAACGACAGGCAATTGTACAGGAGGAATGTGTAGAGGTAAGTTTCGATTTCCATAGTGTAAACTCTCGTCCGTTTGAAATGTGCTTTTTTTTCTTCTTCTTCTTCTTCTTTGCAATGCATAAATCTTCAAGTTTTCCCATGATGACTGTGCGAGAGAATGGGTGGAGTCAGTACGTTAACCAGGTTGTCAGGATTTAGTTGGAGAACACACGAGAACGGATTGTTGTATTGAGATCATCGACTGAAATCGTATCTATATTTCTTTTCGATATCTGACAGATCTTGTGTACAAACGATCCGGTAGGTGGCAACGTGGGCGCCATCAGACGCTAGGTTTGACCTGAATGCTAGTAATCTTGTTACAGTAAAGACAGATGTTATTTCAGGTGTTATTCTAGGAAGAAGTTAAGGGCCTTGAACCAAGGTTATGTGGGCCTCCGTGCATTCGTGTGACTAGACCGGTTATGTTTTTGTCAATAAACTTAGTTCTGTCATCTTAATCATGACAAATTAACCTAAAATAAGAAACCCAGATCTGTGTAATCGATCACTCGAATCAGTAGAAAAGTGGCATCTGAAAGATTTTGTAGAAATGGCTTCTAGATAGAGATATCTGTTTAAGAGGCGTTGAAATACGTATTCAAAGTAAGGCTAAGACTTTCGTGAAGAGATGTTTACCACAGTAATTGTAGCTGTGAAAACGGATATTCTAGATTAAGGCATAGAATGTTGTAGATAGATAACCACCACAGTAACTGTAACCGTGAAGCAGGATATTCGAGGTTAAGGCATAGAATTTTGTGAAGAGATATTCACTAAATATAGCCGTGGGAATATGTTTCCAAGGGTTAAAAACTAGGTTGTCATTTTAAGATGTAGTCATTAAGAACTGTCACTGTGGAAATATTAAACTAGAGGATCAAACAAAAGAGCACTTAAGAGACTTGGCCACAGGTGTTTGGATAAATAGATAACAACTAGTTTGTCAAAGACACTTTACGTAGCTGGAATTTAATCATTGCGACACAAATCGGGTTATGAAACATCTTGCAGAGAAGGGGGGGGGGGTAAGAATAAGAGATCCAAATTTGCAGAAAGTGGATTCTCAAGTGGTAAATTTTCGGTGACACATTGGAATATCACTCCGAATGTTTCAAGTGCAGAAATTCAGCTTGAAAAGGTAACACGTGATATGCCAAGATTATAAAATCCGTTGTGTCCACAGTTGACACATTGGAATATCACTCCGAATGTTTCAAGTGCAGAAATTCAGCTTGAAAAGGTAACACGTGATATGCCAAGGTTATAAAATCCGTTGTGTCCACAGTTGCTATTCTTGAGTTAGAGCATCAGGTGTTTGTGGAGTTATGTTGGAAACGCGTGACTTTGAGAGTGGGTGGAGATAACTTGAACATTGGTCACTGGAGGCACAAGTTGTTTAGAGTTTCCATTCGTATCTGAAACCTTCCAGTACAAAAAGAAAAAAAAATTGCTTTGTGAATCTCCGTACGCCATTTTGTTAATAAGCAGTTGAACCTTGAAGAGTTGGGCTGTCAGTGAGAAGTCTCACAGGTTTCTGAAATTGGATCTCGTAACTTCACACAGAAAAATCCGATCCCTCGCGTGATTCTGAGACTTACAGAGCTTGTATGGCTTTAAAATAACCTTATCAGTGCATCTGCATGAAACCAGACACTCAAGACCAGACTCAAGTTTGCAGTCGGATATCTTAGGTTTCTTTTCCTGATGACAGTCGAATTTAATACTGTCATGTACTGAAAAACAGTACGTTTCAACACGTAAAAAAAAAAAAATTGAGTTCAGCTCAAAATTGTAGTGAAATCAAGGACAAATATTTCTAATTTGTCAGCAGTCGTTTCTCTAACCTATATTTAATGTATGCAAAAGTTTTTGCTAGCAAATACCTAAATCAACCGAATAGGCTTTAATGAAAGAGTCAAGACTTTTTCTTTTTTTTATCCAAGAGTTAAATCGAACTCGTTTCTTTTATTCTTGCAGGTGGTAGAGACAGGGATAATCTGGTGCCTTATGGTCGAAGTCGCAGTGAAGAAGGTGAGGAAAATAAATATGGTTATTTTTTTTTTTTCATCTTACAAAATTTATTAACTATTTTGCATCTTTTAAGTTTTGAGTATTTGTTTTCTAATGAAATTTCTCACGTTTCTTGTCCTTTCATTCGTATTGTTTGTTTATGTCTCCTAATCCTTTGCAGGGTTTACAGTCACATTCGTGAATTAATTTCGACTTCAGAAGCATAATATATTGATTTCATCAGTACCTCCTGGTTTTATAAGAACATTTATATTTTCCCCCATAACCAGAGGAAAATCATGTATAAGAAGGGTTATGAAACATAATATTCCGTGATGTCACGACAGAAAATACAAACTGTGTTGAACCAAACACAATTTCAAGCTTATTCTTGTATTGAAAAAATGTGATATTTAAATACTTTAAAATGCATTTGATTTCGTTCTGTCCTGAATGGTAGACAGTTACACGAAGATTGGGCGTATTCGAGCTGTGATATTGAGCCTTTATGCAAAGATCAGATATTTAACACAATACGTGTATATATATAAATCGATGTAGTGGATCCCCTACATTAAAATTGACCGTTTCGTTATTTCCTTGAGAATGTATTTGGAAATATGTTAAGAAACACTATTCAGGCTGTAAACTTTTAAAAGATGTTACTAGGGTGTGGGCCTACTTTTAGCCTGTAATCTGCTACTAACGGCCGCCAAGAGCCATTAGTGTGCATCTTGTAGAACAGACTGTAATTCCTCTTGCACTCTACGTCTGTGGCCGTAACTTTCTCAATCTCCAGCGGCCATTTGAAGTACCCTAAAGTAATTCATTTAGACTCACGTTGGGGCTCTTGATTGGCTAAGATAAAGTCCGAACATTATTTAACACTCACGTTGGGGCTCTTGATTGGCTAAGATAAAGTCAAAACATTATTTAACACTCGCGTTGGGGCTCAAAACATCCATGGTGATGTACTACTCCCGCCTATTTTTACGGGCCCCGGCATGGTCTGGTGGTTAGGGCGCTCGACTCTCAATCTGAGGGTCGTGGGTTCGAATCCCCGTCCAACCAAATATGCTCGCCCTTTCAGCCGTGGAGGCATTATAATGTGACGGTCAATCTCACTATTCGTTGGTAAAAGAGTATCCCAAGAGTTGGCGGGGGGTGGTGATGACTAGCTGCCTTCCCTCTAGTCTTACACTGCCAAATTAGCCCTCGTATAGCTTTGCGCGAAATTGAAAAACAAACAAACTTTTCAGGGATGGCAACTTAACAGTTATGTCATATTTATTTTCCAGATTGGTAAAACCCAGTCCTATCTTTTCGGAGCAAACAATCAGTGGCAAAATTAATCGCTTGACATGATGGCTTCCCATTGTTATTTTGTTGTTGTTCTTCGGTTTAACCAAATTTTAAAGCTCTAAAGATTTGGAGATCCGGCGTCTTTCTTTTATGACTGCGACGATTGGTTTTTGGGCTATGGTCCATCAATGAAAGCCGGTAGCATGAAGCTTCCGGCGCATATGGAACGTGCTTCTTGCAATCTTGATCTTTCTTTTAAATCCTGTGCGCCTTTTGTTAACAGAGCAGTTCAAACGTGTGTATGTACCGAAGTATTCCATAATACCATGTAATATATCAATATCGTAAAGATACGTTCTTATGTCCTCCGGTGGGACAGCGGTACGTTTACGGACTTACAACGCTAACACTCTGGGTTCAATTTCCTGCGGTGGACACAGCAGATAGCTCAGTGTGGCTTTGGTCTTAAAAACAACACCAACAATACATTCTTATAGATTACATTATAATTTATATTTCAAAATGTGGTACTTTTCTAGTGCTTTTACTGTGGTTATAGTTTGAACTGCAATCCCATTATGGATTCGTCAAAAACATGGCACAAGGATTTAACACCTCACCTGTTGTGTCCAGTCTAGACTGTTTCTACCTTTTTACTAGTCTATGGGTGCTAATAAACACTTCCGATGTGACAACCTCAAAAGAAGGATGACACTTCCGATGTGACAACCTCAAGAGAAGAATGAACACTTCCGATGTAACAACCTCAAGACAAGTATGAACACTTCCGATGTGACAACCTCAAGACAAGTATGAACGCTTCCGATGTGACAACCTCAAGACAAGTATGAACGCTTCCGATGTGACAACCTCAAGAGAAGATGAACACTTCCGATGTGACAACCTGAAGAGAAGAATGAACACTTCCGATCTCACAATCTCAAGAGAAGAATGAACACTTCTGATGCGACAACCTCAAGAGAAGAATGAACACTTCTGATGCGACAACCTCAAGAAAAGAATGAACACTTCCGATGTAACAACCTCAAGACAAGTATGAACGCTTCCGATGTGACAACCACAAGAGAAGAATGAGCTGTCAGAAACGTTCGGTGTTTGTTTTAGTCTTAAAGTTTGTTTGTTTTTAATTGTAGTTAAGCACAAAGCCCACCACGGGTATCGAAACTCAGTTTCCAGCTTTGTAAATGCGCAGACATACCGCTGTTTGCGGTTCAAGTCAGTTGTGAGGTATTATACGCTAAATTTGCTTGTTTCGGTATTTGCGCACAACTACGCAAGAGCTATCTGTATCAGCCATCTTTAATCTTGAACTGACGGACCAGAGGGGAGGTAGCTATTCAACAGCACCCAGTACCAACTTTTGGGATACTCTGATCGAATAGGATTTGACCGTCACTCTTATAATGCACCCACGGGCCCAAAGGTTTTGGTGCAACGGGACGCGAACCACGTAAACCACTAGGCCACGTTGTCCCACTAAACAATGAATACTACACATTGAACTCCCATTTATTCACCCCGTTATCCACAGAGAAGCTGTATATCAGTAGGCATGTTTAAATGTCTCGGACACCCCTATTATTAATACAACATCCGATAACAAATCCTTTTTGAATATCTGTGGACTCAGTACTTAAGGTAATAACCACGTAATGCACTTTAGTAACGTTGTAAGGTATGATAAAAGTACATTTTTATCCAGATATAAAGACAACGAATGATCCTAGATCATTTTTGTTTATATCTTTATGTCTTTAAGATAGATGTTCTCATTGTTATTTTCTTAGTGCAAAATTACATAATCGGGTGGCTACCTGTATTCTGTCCAACGCGTATAATCGAAACCCCGGATTTTTGAGTTGTAAATTCGCAAACTTATCGCTAACCTACCGGGGGGTGGTGGTGAATAAACAACACGGCCATTCAGCAGCAGCAGAATTGGCGGATAATTTATAGAAATAATTCAGTTCTTGATATCAAGCGTCAAAAGTGGAAAATAATCACGTTCGTTACGAGTAACTGTTTATATAAAATCCAAAGACAACGACTTATGATTTAGCAAAAAGCTGAGAATTCAGAAAAAAAAATGTGTATGTTCTCCTTTCCTGAAAAAATGTAAAGTCTGAAACGCACGGTTAAAAAAAAACAACACAAAAGAGAGATAATAGTTCATATATTGTACAACGTAGCCACTGTGTTGAACAGATGCCGTGCATGGGAATTTGGTTTTTATTAATCAAGACCACAAAATTGTTTAATGTTCCAGACTAATGACCCGGCAGGAGGCGAGACGATCCCATCTATACATATTCATCACATCTGCCAAAGCAAGTAATTATGGATAGGACATGATTAACCTTGACCTCACGATGGTTACACGAACTGAAAAGGAATAAAGCCGCTTGGTGAAGATAAAATGTTGGTCTTTTAAACAAAAGTCGTTTACTGTGAGTTATTGTTGAATGTTGTTATGAAAGGTTGATAGCAACCCTATGTTTTGGTTGGACGATAATGATGGGAACTGTTTATGAGCGGGGGCTTGGCTTTCTTAGTATATTTCATGACAAAAGAATGGTAATACTTTTCTGTGTTATAGACTTACTGACACGAGAAATTGAAGTTTCATTAAATTTATTGTTAGGCTTAAATGCTGACGGACTTTATGCAAATACTTTCTTGCTTGCTTTTTAAGTGAGAAATATTTGGGGTTCCTCTACGAGTCATGATAAAAGGCAGTTTTTCTTAAAATAATGGGAATATTATTGCAGAATTGTGAATTAAAATTGTTGTTGTTGTTAAATGTTTAGGCGGACGAACTTGCATATAAAATATGCCAGCTTTAAACTTGATTTTTTGCTAAAATCAAACCTAATGTTCTTTGCAACATCGTCATCTCGCTCTAGCGAATAACGTATTTTTTGGGGGGAACGGCAGGTTTTTACCCAGAACTCCGTGCACGTTTTACTCTGGGAGTTTTCGATTTTCGAAACTAGAAACTTGTATATTAAACAAAAATAATTCAACAATGATGATGAATTAGAGTCATAAAAACTGCGTAACAGAAGGATGTGTTTTTCTAAACATATATTGCGTGTATAATTTCTAATTGCATGATGTAAGACATACTGTTTAGTCAAGCTCCGTTATTTTTCTATATTTCGGTCCACATTATATTAATTTTGCCAAATAATTGCTCTTTTCCCGTTAACTTATTGTAAAAAATATTTTGAAAACATACATAGTATTTATATAGCCAACATATTACCTAACTTCAAGTGATCCCAATTTAGCAAATATTAGAAATTCTAAAGCCAAGCGTGACCAATGGTTAGTATGCCCGAACTGTGAATTCGAGGGTTCATGGTTCGCCTGTCGTCGTCACAAAAACGCGCTTCTCAGTTTGAGACAGTGGGTGTGCAATAAGAATGACAGTCAAATCCCACTATTCGGCCAGACAAGAGCGGCCCAAAAGTTGTTGGTGGGTTCTGTTGACTGGATGCCTTTCCTCTGGTTTATCAGCTCAAAAATAGAAAGAGCTAAGAACAGATAACCCTTGTGTAACTTTGTGAGAAAATTCTAAACAAACAAGCAAGCCATCACGTTCACCATTTTCAGTTATCCGAAGTCCGCAAGCAATAAAAATCTCAAACTCTCGATGACAAAGATCCAATTTTTCATCATAACAGTATGAGATATATTCTGCCACCTTGAATTCATTTTCAAGTATCTCCTGCCGCCTTGAGTCGGTGTTCGAGGATATCCTGCCGCCTTGAGTCAGTTTTTAAATTTATCCTGCTACCTTGAGTCAGTGTTCTAGGATATCCTGCCGCCTTGAGTCAGTTTTGAAATCTATCCTGCTACCCTGAGTCAGTGTTCGAGGATATCCTGCCGCCTTCAGTCAATTTTTAAATCTATCCTGCTATCTTGAGTCAGTGTTCGAGGATATCCTGCCGCCTTGAGTCAATTTTTAAATCTATCCTGCTACCTTGAGTCAGCGTTCGAGGATATCCTGCCACCTGAGTCAATTTTTTAAATTTATTCTGCTACCTTGAGTCAGTATTCGAGGATATCCTGCCACCTGAGTCAGTATTCAAGGATATTTTGCCGTCACGAGTCACTTTTTAAATTTATCCTGTCACCTTGAGTTAGTGTTCGATAATATCCTTAATTAGGGATTGTTATGCTTTCACCTTGGAGTCTTTGAGCTATCCGTTTAGCCCACGTGTCGAATACGTTACTTATCTGGTTGAATGTACCAACATTAGTTAATTTCTTTATATAGATATGTTCTATCATCAAACTATTACGCAAAACTTTGTTAGAAGACCAACCATGTCACTTTAACCGTATCAAGTCCCCACTGGTGTTAATAGAGGCCTAAACTTTATCTGACTCCATTCCTAAGAGAGAAATTTAAAATATCTGTCTAATTACACAGGCCTGCGAATTTAAACTTCATAAAAGTTGTTTTGGTTTTACTAACGAATTTTCCATAATTCAGCTACGCAGATTTCGAAAATAAGATTCTTTTTTTTTCTATAACGTAAGGATTTTTTTACAAATCGGGTAGGGGGAAAAAAAACTCTTAATTAGGTCAAATTATTATTTCGTTTACCACAATGAACATTTTTTATTATTATATTTATTAACAAAAATACAAACAAACAAAAGAAAAGGGAAGAA